TACTTCTTCGTACTTCTTCGTACTTCTTCGTACTTCTTCGTACTTCTCTGTACTTCTCGGTACTTCTTCGTACTTCTTGGTACTTCTCGATACTTCTTGGTATTTCTCGGTACTTCTTGGTACTTCTTGATACTTCTTGGTACTTTGTACTTCTCGGTACTTCTTCGTACTTCTGTACTTCTGAAGTACAGAAGTACGCTTGTTCCCCCTTGGGGCGGATACTGTTTCGAAAAATTGACGTTACAATAAAAAGAGTCTTGTTTTTGACATCAAAAAGAATGGTAATATTGAAGGTACAAATTGTTATAGTGAATTAGTGTTACTGTATAGCATTAAAATTATTCTAATTGATAGAATGAAATAAGATAAAGTGATTTTAATGATCTTTTTCTTTTGACAGTTTTTCTTTAAGATATATGCTAGTTGCGTTAAGAATTTCATAACATAAAACACTGTTATGCAATATATTTGATATTGCAAAATAAAAAGTTGAAAAGTCTGAAAGGTTTATTATTTAATTGTCAACAGTTTTTACTGTTATTTAAGAAACAAATATTTATTATAAGACAGTTTATGGTACAGTCAGATTGATATAATAAAAAGTTTTAGTATATACGTATATTAGTTGTGACAAGTAAAAGCGTATTTAATTAAATAATTATTAAAAAAAAGTGTAGATCTATAAATTAAGAGTACTAAATTTAATTTTGTAAAAAACCTATAATATGTGTATCCAAAAAAAAAAAATAGTCTATTCGATCTTGTAACAATTAAAGAAAAATAGTTTTAACAATAGATAATTTAATAAACATAACCAATGGAAAGTCTCAATAACAGTATTGTTATATAGATATTTTTTTTTCTTTACTTATTTATTTTAATATTAGTATTTATTAATTTGATTATTACTTAATAATATTTAAATAACTATTTGAAATCTTAATTAGAAACTTTTTGCATTCAATAATCATTATTTTGTTTTATAGAATAGAAATTTTCTATACATCATTATCACGATCACTATCATCTTCATTTTCTTCATGATATTGTATATATCTATATGAAAATGCTCGAACTCGTCGTTGATATTCTAATAAATCAATCACTCTATTAATTAACAATTCTTTTGCTTCAATCAAACGGTTATCATAGTCACGATAACATTTACGCTTAGTTTTTGTAGGACGTTTCTGTTTTATTTCTTGAGATATCGATATCATTGTTTGTTCATCTAATTCACGTTTCAATAATATGTGTTTCCAAATGTTTGGATGTGGTGTACTACGTCTAATACATATTAAAAAAAAATGAAAAAAAAGATTAATTGAGAAATTCTTTAAAAAATGACGTATTTATTGCTCGATGAAAGCCTTCAATGGCATTAGTTGTTCGATTCGTAAATCCGATAAAAGAAAAATGATTCCATCGTGGAGGTGGAAATATCGTTCCATATAGATACGTGTTTGAAAAATATTGTAAAAGCTTCTCAATATCGGCTATTTTTAAAACTAATTGTGATGCAATGTTTTCATAAATGCTAAATACATATTCGATAGGTATCAAAGGTAAACAAAATAAATTAGCTAAATCTCGTCTAGCTTCTGTATCACGAAATGATGGAATGAAACCTAAATATATGTATTGGAATATAGACCTATTGTGTCAAAAAATTCAGCCTAAATGTCTGGCTTTGAAAACGAGACAGATTAACTTGATTAATACGTCAATTAATTTTATTTTTATGAAAGATTAAATGAATATGGTTTAGTCTACTACTTAGAATAATAAGATTTAGTTGTGATTTTTCAATATAATAGATTCGCTATCTGACAATTATATGTTAAGATAACTGAGTTTAGACAGAATAGAAACAAATATCAATAGATATAAATTTTTAAATGTAAAATATTAACCTAGTTTTCGTACTTGACGCCATATTGATCGACAGTAATGAAAATGACAATAAATAACTGAACTATGTATAAAAATGTTTAAGAAGGCATTAGATGTCGCTTGTTCAAAAACAAGCATCATATTAACCGGGTGTAGTTCAATGCCATTTTTATTTGCATAATCAAGTAAAGCTTTAAAAACCAATTCGTATTGTTCTTATTTACGACCAGACATTGCAATATGGACAAATGGATGTATGCCTCATTCGGTGCGTCCATGAATTGAATATGATTGATGAAACTTTTGTGGTGCAGATCGAAATGTGCCATCAGCAATAGAGTACTGCAACCCGACCCGCACCCGTACCCGACCTGCGGGTGCGGGTCTGACAATCATCGGGTCGGGTCGGATGCGGGTTTAATTTCAAGAAATGTCGGGTTTTTATCGGGTTAAATTTTTTTGTGTAATTAATGCTTCTGCGCTCTAATCGCGACATTCTTATGTCCGGAAACAAAATATCTTTCTATGAGTTCAAATTTGATTTAAATACATCTGGCAAAATCAAATTTTAGAGTCTGACAAAACCAGAACGTAATGCTGCTATTAAAAATGAACGAGCGCTTTTGAGAACTCTTGGTATAGATCAACAAGTAGATGGAGAAATTCTACAGGTACGCACTACCAACAATGCCTCAAAACATTGAAAACGTATTAAAATTGACGCTGTACACGATATTCTCAAGTCTTTCAATGGGTCTGCAGACTTATCATCAGACGGTAATGATAATGGGTCGATGAATGAAGTAGCTCGTTATTTTAAGGCGAAAATATCGTATCGAAAAGGAGAATCACTTTTGCAAGGGTGGGAAAATCATTCTATCATATGCAAGAACTGAGCTTCTTGATTATTACATCATATATCTTCTTAAATGCGCAAGAAAAATTCATTAAATCAATATAAACTCGACTCTCTCTAGTTTATCGTTATTAGTCTATTCTCTCTTGGTGATACTTGCAAGTTCTACTGCTTCAGAAAGAATATTCAGTCAAACAGGCCGAATCCTTGAAGTTCAGCGTCGACAATTATCACCAGAATAATTTGATTCTCTTATTTTTTTACGGAATTTTCAAGTTGTTTTGTAGAAATTGAAGCTATATTGTTTATATTTGTATGATACTTATTGTTATTATCATTATCGATTATAACTACTTAAAACGTACGTACTTGGATGTGAATACGATTTCGTACTCGATTGTGACAGATATTTTTTATGATGGTGATTATCTATGTGTTTGTTTTTAACGTTATAAAGTTTCCATAATTTTTAATGGTTAACATTGAAATAAACTGATATATCTTTAGAAAATACAGGAATTTAATCTCTCGGGTCGGGTCGGATTCGGGTTTGACTATGCTCGGGTCGGGTCGGGCTCGAGTTCAACTATCATCGGGTCGGGTCGAGCTCGGGTTCAACTATCATCGGGTCGGGTCGAGCTCGGGTTCAATTATTCTCAGGTCGGGTCGGGCTCGGGTTAAACCTTTGCGAGTCGGATCGGGCACGGGTGCGACTAGAGGACCTCGGGTCAGGTGTGGGTTCCAAAAGTCAAACCCGCGCAGAACTCTAATCAGCAAGCCAATAGGAGCATTTACCTGTTTTTTTTTTATTTTAGAAAAATTAAATATTTTATATAAAAAGAATATTCAATAATAAAATTCAATAAATTAGAAACTAATGCTGAATAAGTTTCCATTTTATTACATATATTTGTCTCGTTCTGTTTATATTAAAAAATTCTTCAATATATATTAATATATATCGTCTTTGATATCAATAAATATTATTTTTCTTAGTTTTTTTTCTACTCTAATAGAGAACAAAATCTAAAGAAAATTAACTTTGTTTGATAGAGTTTTTTTTATTATTATTTGTGTTTTCATGTATGTTTCTGTATAAATATTTAATTACTATCACTTTCCTGTGTTGTACAGACTATTTAATATATTATAAATCTTATAAAGAACCCATTCGTATATGGAAATTGGCATATATTTATATGAGAACAGTTGCGTTTAAATATATGCTTTTTTTTTCTTTTAAAGATATACGATTGTTCTCTCCAGATTTGATTCAATTCATTTAGACTACAAAAACTCTATTATTCAATAGACGAAGATTACAGAGGAAATAGACGACTTCAGTATAAATAGTATCATAAATATATATATATGTACAGGGTGACCCAAAAGTAACAGGACAGATCATTTTTTTCGATTTTTTTTTCTATAATATCAGCAGTTACATGTCAAATTTATACCACATATACTAGGTGATAATGAGGGGTCCACGAGAATTTAAAGTTATCCTGTTTTACTTTTCTATACATTATTTACTCCCTTTAGTCCCTTTAAAAGGAGTAAAAGGAGTAAAAGGATTAAAAGGACTAAAGGGAGTAGAAGAACTAAAGGGACTAAAGGGAGTAAAAGGACTAACGGTACTAATGGGACTAAAAGGAGTAAAAGGACTAAAGGCCCTAAAAGACCAAATATCAATTATAAACAAGTAAAACTTAATATAAAAAAGTAAAACTTTTGTATAAAAAAGTAAAACTGGATAAATATTATTTTTCGTGGACCTATGCTTAATTGCTTGAAAAACATCGAATTTTTCATATAGTGACATAAGAACAATTAAGACATTTATATCCTTTGGAAGAAATTACTATGCCTAGAGGTTGATCATAAGTTCTATCTCTAACTAATATCACCTAGTATATGTTGTATAAATATGAGATGTAACTGCTGATATCATAGAGAAAAAAAATCGAAAAAAAAATGATCTGTCCTGTTACTTTTGGACCACACTGTATATATCATATGTATATAATTGTACTCAATGATAGAATATACCAATCTGCTTTGTTTTGATTATTACTAAAAAACTTTACTTTATCGAAATCAAATAATTGGTGTGATGACTAAACTATTAAATTTAAAATATTAACTGCTCATCTCTGTTTAATACAAAATTATTCAATGCCTTACTAAAGGACAGTGCATGATATTAGGTATTTAAAGATTTCATATTATAGAAAGATGAGTAGCGAGTATTTAAAGTTTATTAATTTAATAATGAGTGTTCTAATTTGAACTGAATATCCTCAGATTTTTGAACTGATAATTGAAAGAAATTAGGTTGAAATATTCTACTATAGAGTATGCCTATTGATATATATATATAGTAAGATAGAAATGAGTAAAATGATAAATGACTCAAAAAAAAAATGTAGCAAACAACGTGAAAATCATTCCAGTAAATACGTACCAAGTGAAACCAATGCCTGTGGAGAACATAATGTTATTAGACGATGTGGTGCCGGATTGTCAAATATTACAAACTGGTCACCATTTTCTAAGAATTTTAAACTATCGGGTATGATGATGTCTTCTAAACTTTTCGGAATTGGTGGTAGAACACATGAACAACGACGATAGGCTGTTGATCTTATATAATTGAAAACAAGAATATCTTCTGCTGTACCTTTTTTTCTTTTCTGACAAAAAAAGCATTATATTAAAAAAAAAATTAGAATTTGATATAAATAAAAGTATACATATTGAACTAAATGTTGTCGATAAATTTCGGTTACTGGTTTTAATAAATCGGTGGTAGTTTCCGTATATATTTTTTCTAATACAGCTCTAACGTCAGGTGTATGTTGAAGCTCGTTATGTGAATGTTGTTGTGGATATCGTTTTATAACACCATTGAATAAAACCATTGATACTCCACAAGATTTGTTGCAACAAATCCATATTTCTGAACCGTCTTTATTTGTACATCTTTTTCTATATTTTTGATTTTGATATATAAATGCAGTTGCACCACGATTAGTTTTTGTCCATTCGATTGTTGATTGCATGATATAATATTCATTACATATTGTGCTCCAATTCAGAAACAAATATTCATTATATTCATAGAAACTTTCTTTAGCGATCTGTTTGAGACACAAGTAATTAGAACTATCGAAAAACTGCTTAGCGCACTTTACAACAAACAGCTGAAAGATGTACATTATCGTAAATAATGAAAGTTGTACACGTATAACTACAACTAGTTAAATATAGTTAGATGTTCATTGTTCATCTGATTAGCACAATACTAGTATTGATCGGATACCACAACTCATACCACCAATAATATATTCAAAGTATTCATGTTATAATTATACCTCTATATAAAATTGTATAATTTGAATAAAAGTCCCAGTGATTAATATCGTTAATGATTATTGTAAACATTTATCAACAAAGTCTCTATTTTTACTAGAATCAAAAGGTATTACATTGAAAACAACAATGAACTCTACATCTTCCTAAATCTATAGATAGAAATTTTATAGAAAACAGCAACGAACTCTACATCTTTCTAAATTTATAAATTGAAATTACATTGAAAACATTAGCGAACTCTACATCTTCCTAAATTTATCAATTGAAATTGCATAGAAAACAGTAGTGAACTCTACATCTTTCTAAATTTATCAATTGAAATTGCATAGAAAACAGTAGCGAACTCTACATCTCCTTAAATTTATCAATTGAAATTGCATTGAAAACAGTAGCGCACTCTACATCTGTCTAAATTTATAGATAGAAATTATATTAAAAAAGAAAAAGAATGAATTTTATCAATTTTAAATATTCAAAACGAAAGTGAAACTTTGATTATCATTAAAATTATTATTAGTAAATTTTATAAATTGAAAAAGAATTTAAAATTTTCGATTGTCGTTCTAAAAATAATTTCAATATTTAAATTAATTTGTTCAGTTGAAATATATTTTTCAATAATTTGCAAAACGAAAATTTGAAACGTCGACTTGGTTGTATCTGTATAATTTAAGTTGAAAAATAAAATGAAATCGAATTTTATAATTTTAAAATTTTCGATTTTATGTTCGCAAATGAGAGGATACCATAGTATCAAACATTTTTGAAACTTCTGATTCACTTATCAGTGACTCAAATTTATACAACTTGAATAGTAAAATTATTTAAATTGGCACAATAAAGCACGCTTCACTTATTAGAAAAACTTGCTTTTCTCTCATATTTAAACTATAAAACAATACCCTTCATTTTTGTTCGCATTAACTAATGTTAAAATATCTGTCAAAATTGCATTCAAATTGCTTCATATCATGATAAATTGATCCATATCGAAATTCATATAACATCAACACAGTCGATAAATAAGACAATGCCTTACTTCTTCTCAATGATGGAAAAACCCCTACAGATGCACCAAAAATTTCTAAAAAAAAACTTGCTCTCATTTAGCAAAAAAATAACCTAAAGCGCAAGTTAGATTTGATCAAATCATTAAAAAAATTAACCGAATGTCAGACATGCAAATCTTCTATTTCTCTATTCCTTCAAACGCATCAATGAAAACGTTTCATATTTTTCTACTATTTAGATATGAATAATTCCGAACCAACATCTTCAAACATAAAACACCATGTTAATATTCATTGTCGACATATTCAACGTAATAAACGAAATACTTACGACGAGGACTCTGTCAAGCATAAAAGAACTTATAAAAAGAATAAATAGACACATTAATACTTATTATATAATTTAGTTTTTCTATAAATACACAATAATCATTAATATTTTTTTTTGTAACTTCAAAGAAATATTATGCCTGTATTTTCAAATGTAAATTTTTGATTATACACTGTTTCCCAAAAATCCTTTTCTAAAAGCTTTTCATTTATGGGAATTGTTCAATCTAACTATATCAACTGATTTTATAAATAATGCGTCTATCCATCGAGTTCTATTTTACACTGGAGAGCTATAAAAGAATTCTTCAAAAGTGTCACTCCTAAACGAAATACAAAATTTTGGTCTATTTTCCATACATCGAAAACCACTATGGAATCATTCTTTTTCAATAATTTTGATTTTCTGAATTATTTCAATATATAATAGTTACCTGATAGATATTCATTTTCCAACATACTCGAGAACAGAAATTCAATCGTATTCAATCCATAAGTTGTAGAGCTCGTAAAATCTATACAAATCCTTTAAACAGTTTTTTATTGATTTTATCAATTAGTGAGCAGCGAACTGCCCTCCACCAATGTCTAGATAGCATACGATGTTCGAAAATTACACCTTAGATAATCTTTGTTTTATCTGTAAAAATAGATAAAACAGATTTTGAAACATACTACAGTCATTTTCTTAATTCATCAGTCTATCCATAATAATCAATTACTTGATGAGTAAAAACAAAATGATATAAAACGGAAAAACTTACAAGAAAACAGTCCAAACAGATTATAAAGACTGCCGATAAAAACACTTATTAATCATTCAAATTCAAAGAAGCATGCACTATGCCTCTGATGAAAAATACGAAGAAATTAATTGAAGAAAAGAAACATTACGTAATAAGATTTAACCAAACATCCGAAATAGTTACATCCTCATTCATCGAAGAATATACGAACTTTTTGTAAAACAAATAAAAAATAAAAAAAGTCTAACCAATCATCAATGTTCCCATATCCCCATCATTTAAAAATAAAATAGATAGCTTTTGAAAACAAAAAAAAAAAGAATCTATCCAATCGTCAATGTCCCCAACATTGAAAAAAAAATATATGATTTTTGAAAACGAAAAGAATTCGATCAAAGAAAAGAATCTAACCAATCATCAATGTCGCCATGTCCCCATTATTGAAAAAAAAAATAAATCGTTTTTGAAAACGAAAAAAATAATTCAATAAAAAACAAAAATATAACCAATCGTCAATGTCCCTATCATTTGAAAAAACTATATAGTTTTTAAAAATGAAAAAAAAAGAATTCGATCGAAACGACAAGAACCTAACCAATCGTCAATGTTCCCATGTCCCCATGATCCAAGCTACATTCCAAACTCACCTGCCACATCTATACTCAAAGAAACCGAAAATGACTTTTTCATAAAATATTATACTAAGTGAAAAAAAATAATAAAGAATATCTAAGCCTATGTCTTAATTTGTTATTTAATTTCAATTGTGCACAGGCTTAATTTTGACTAGGCAAAATTGTATCGAATATTTTCAAAACAACAATTTTTAACAGTAGTTCAATTTTGCCTGACACATATAGATAGGAATAGTTTTAGATTTACTTATGTATAGCTTTAAGTAAGACATATATACTCACGAGTGTGAGGAGTAGTTGCATAATTGAAGTTTCAATATAAATGAACTTTTCACAAAAATAATAAGTACTTCCTACCGGACGCCAACGATAAAATTTTTATCCTAATTACAATTTATAATTCGAAGTAGACTGCCTGATAAAATAGTCAAAAACGTATTAGTAAAATTTTTATTTGAATTATAATTTATAATATGAAACTAGACTTTCCTATAAACTAGGGAAAAGACCAAAATCATGATTTCATGAGTCTCACTCAGTGCAATGCCGTCTGGTCACGATTCCGTGGCACCCGCACTTAGTGCGATGCCCTTTTGTCACGCTTTCTTGGCACCCTCACTCAGTGCGATGCCATCTGATCACGATTTTGATAGCTCTCGGTCAAAATTTGAGTAGGTTTTTTCTGCCAATCCAAATACTGTCGTTTCTCATCGGTGTCTAATTGTTTTCTACTTCAAAGAACCTCACTACCTTTATACTTGAGGGCATAGTTGCTGAGTTGAAATAGTAATCCATCATACAGAATAAAGTTTTTGGCAAGATTATATGATTTCATAGGCTCCCACGAATAATCGAATTTTTACACATTTTCTGCATATTTTGTAAATCCGATGTTGAAACAACCTTTGGCACGATCACATATACTAACAATCTTGGATTTACTTATGCGGACGACAATACGTGGTTTAATGCGTCCCATCCCGAATAACACAATGTAACAGTCAAAATGAGATTTTTTGATCGATACTAAGGAAGCTTCCTGTCCTTTTTTTAAGGAAGTACAGTTCAATTCATAAGGAAATGTGTGCGCTTTAAAAATCGTCCAGAAAAATACAATTACTGTTATTAATAATCTCTCTTGTGGTTTCAAATAAAGTTACAGTTCAATTCACCCAAATATTTTGCTATCTTCTTCTATCCTCACAACTATGACACTATTTCATTTGAGATTAGGATTCACTACATTGAAATCTGCTTCTATCAATACCTATTTAAACAACAATATATCTAGTTGAATTATAAATAAAACTGAAGAGAACGAAATCTATTCCCATTTCAACGCTAATATGCATACCTGAATAATAATTATAGCTGGGCAATATATTCCTATCTATTTCTTAATTTAGAGAATATATGTGTATACGAACTATAACTATAAGTAAATAAAGTCAAATATATTCCTATCTATAACTACACTCACAGAGATGATGGTATATGTATGAATATAAATGCTTATAACTAAAACTAAAACTATTCCTATCTATAACTACACTCACAGGGTGATGAACTTTCTTCATTTATTTTATAAGTGATATGCAGTTGAGGCATCATTTATATTCGAAGGTGAATTAGACAACTTATGCCTTCCTAACAGTCAAACCAATAGAACTAATTTTTTTTGATTTTTGAAGATTCTTCGCCTTTAATAGATTTACCGTATTACGCAGATTTGCCATTTCATAGTAAACGAATTATTCATTTTTTTGAGTGTCAACTGATTTCTATGTTACAGGGATGGGCGAGTGAAGCCATTTTTCGAGTCGAATCGAGTCTGAGTCATTTCGAAATGGTTTGGAGTCGAGTCAAGCTAATTTTGTTATCTTTTTCTTTTCTGTTTATTTGGCTAAAGAACATTAACAATGAGTTTTTCAGAAGATGATGTCTGGTTCTTAGTTTTTATGCACAAAAAGAAGGGAATAATCCTACACAAGATAAAATGGTATAGCTACTATAGATTTATCAACAAAACCGAACATCAAGACGAACTCTTCTCCTAAACAGAATTCCACACCAAAATCACAAAAGCGTCATTTTTTTATGAGCAGAACATGAACTTGAATCTGTTTACTAGCAAAATTTTATTATTTATATTTAAATTGCGGAAAAAATTTGTTGTGGTGGCAAAATTGTCTAACTGCGAAATGATCAACAAAAAACCTCAGTGTTTTATCGCCAATTACGCCGAAACATAAATTAATTAAAACGGAACAAGATGTTCCAATAAATGAAACTCAACTTTTCTAATCTTATTTGATCTTGAATACGAGTATGGCTTATAACAACTTTCTATACCAAGAGATCCTGATAAGTCGAAGCCATAATTACCGCAGAAGTTAGTCGATCAATGGACTTATCACACAATACAAAAGAGAAGTTTTTTATTTGAATTTGTTCATCTCGAGATAGTGTTAAATTAGTGAATAAGTCATTTCTTGAAAAAGATATGCCAGGCACTCTTGTTCAAAATACCTATACTACTTCATTCAACTAATCAGCGGAAAGTAAACTCTATATTAGAAAACGGATAAATGGAATGTATTTTTATGTAATCGACGAAAAGTAAATCCTCAAAAGCGGAAATTTTATTATTTTATAAAAGCGATAATTAAAATTGGAAACAACCTACAAAGGCAAATCTACAGAAAATAAATCATCGAAACCATTCAAAATATTTTTTCTATTTGTTATTTTTGTTTTCATTTATGGTAAATTTGCTGATCAAAACACTAATTTTTTGATAATCATGTCGCAGTTAGACAATTTTAGTGATTAAAGCTCAAGTTTTTGGTGTTTAAAAAAAATGCTTACTCATATAAAAATGTCTTTTTTCGCTTCACAGATAATCCAAAACAAAACAGAAAGAGACAATACATACATATGCATCCTGTAAAACGTGTAGACTAAGATTTACGATCGTATAAATAAATAAGTAGAATAAAGCTTTTGAAGAAAACGTTTTAATGCCATATATTCCATTAGAATGAAAATTGCGAATCAAAAAAATTTAGTTTTCTATATTGTGATTTTTTTTATAAAAGCAAATGAAAATTTTTTCGAGTGAATGACTTGATTCACACAGTCAAGTCAACATCATCCAATTTCCGAGTCTGAGTCGAGTCCGAGTCAGTAAAAAAATGTGACTCGAGTCAACTCAAGTCCGAGTTTTGATTCGGACTCGCCCATCCCTGCTACGTTATGATGACAAGACTTTATCAACTAACAGAACACGAGAAAACTACTGCAGCTATCTGCGATAATCAATTTCGCTCATAGAAACAGTAATATTACAGTCTCCTCATTCAGTTTGTTGCGGTCATAATATTATCCTTTCAGAAAAGAGTGAGCGAATCTTTAGATGAGCGTTACTTGTTTCAATAAATGAAATAATAATTAATCCAATTATTGAATGATTATTTAATCGACTACGATATTGACGAATACGAAAAAATTATAAAGAATATAAATTGATATTAATACAGATGGAATTTCTATTATTCCAAATACACATAATTTAATATAACGATGTAGTATTAGTTCAGAAGATATTATTAAATCAAATTGTGCTGCATTCATCTTATCGAAGGGAATCTAATGTATTGCTAATATTAATAGTAAATCTCAAAATGCTTCCAGATTTTATTTGTCTTATTTTAAATAGGATTGTTTTCGAAGATTTTTTTTTCTTTTTGTTATTATATCTCATTTCTTTCTACTCTGCAAATTTTGTATTTTGAAAAGACTTTTTCTTCTTTAGCATCGATAGTTCTGACATTACACATCGAGAGATCTGTTATATTGATGAACTATTATACTAGCAGAATCTCATTAGCTATGATCACGATCTAAAGAACAACGATGCTAATTTTATCATTCCTAAACAACATGTTGTCCATGATAATAGAGAACCTTCTATGTATCAATCTTTAATATAAGAATAAGTTTAGTTTGTTTTATTAAAATCAAATAAATGCCATCGACAAAGAACGAGTCAATTCATTAAAAAGCCATTAGATGAAACTATTCTTAAACGATACAGAAGAAGCATACACTGTAATAATTCTCATTGATTAGTTCGTTTTTGTTAAAGTGCAACACGGGTTTATTATTCATCATATCAAACAATTGAAGTACCCAACGAAAAATTTAGTTGATTTGATCATTATAAAATGAATAGTATTTTAATGAACTACATTTTATTACCTCGATGATGAATTATAGCTCTACTGTGCTGATCATACATGTTTAGCGACTATTTGAAAAACAAAAAGAATGACAAGCCACCTACTTCTTTGTCTGGTTTTGTTGTTATGATTATTATCAAGTACATACCATCGCAATTAGATTATATAATACTGTATATTCTACTGATGTTAATTCTAAGATAGACAATCTAAGATATATTAGTCTTTGAATACACAAATAAGAGAGGAACAATATATAATTGTACTTTCGAAACTACCGTCAAATTTCAATAAGAAAACTTTCTCGAAGGTATTGTCAGATGGATCGACGTCCGAAAATTTTCTTCAAATCGATCCAGATCTGAATCATTCCTAATAGATCGAGTTCAGACCCAAAAATGTTGGACTCTATGATTTCTATTAATTCTGATGTTAACGATACTTCACTTTCCACTTTATTTGAAAGAACATATCTAATAAAAAGGACTAATTATTAGAATTCATTTGATTTATTAGCATATTGTTGTCTGAATTATTTATCTGAAGATGAATTTCAGAAAGTAGATATAAATTTCCCACGGTAGTTTATGTTCTTTTCTAGTTAATATTAACTCACAAACTTTCTAAAATAAAACTTTCAGTTTCATTTTATTAAAAGGATTTTTGCTGATAATCCCTTTGGTAAACAATCAAAGGCATTTATACAATTCATCAGAAATTCTCAAATATTTTATAAATTTTATTGTCTATGAAAAAAAAACTTCATTTAAATGATTTTATTTAATACATCAATGACAAAAACGTACAAAAAAATGAAAGCCTTGATAAAGACAAAAGCTTAAAAACAAGAAAAAATCGTAATTGCATTTAAACAATCGTATGAATCTAAAAAGGCATAAAATTGTATTAGACATAATATCTAATAAAAACACTTACATTATTTTTAATTATGATCAGCAACAAAAGCATGATTGATTCTTTTCAAAGTTCCTTTCGATCTACAATTAAATGAAGTAAAATAAAAGTTTGTCAGCGCAACCTCCCCAATGGGCTAAAATGTGAAACTCGCATACGTCAATATGCACTAAGAGATATTTTAATACAGATGGAAATTCTACATAATCAAAAAAGTACCTAACATGATAAATCTGCGACAAATGATAATAACTCGTTAAGGTTAACTAATTACCATAAAAAGATTCAGTCTTACGATTTTCCACGTTTTCGAAGTGAACAATTTTCTTTTATCATTTCGCTGTCACTGTCTCTTTTATTTCTCTTCTTGCTATCTCATCGTTTATTATCAGCTTTTTTTTCTAAATTTTCTCCAAATTCTTATTCTCAGTGATCTGTTTGTCGCATTCCTTTACTGAATCATTCATTTGATTGTATATTATGTCTGAACAAAATTTATTCTGCATTTTTATGAAGTTCTAAATACTCATAATACACGGATTAATGCAGAAATCTACAACTCGGTTATTTGACACTTTCTGCGTCAGCTTCATGTTGACTGATCGATCTATCACAAAATTATTTAAATACGTCGAAAGCCGTAATCTATACATTCACTTTGGCATAGACGGAACATACTATAGATAATTTAATTTTACAAAATCGTTTAAAAGAGAATAGAGAGTGAGGGCTGCAAAAAGCAGTATCCTGTGAAAACGATTTTTCTCTGCTCCCATTGTCGCATTCTCTTGGGTGACGGAAAGGGAAAAATCATTCCCGCAAGACACTAGTAGAAGGCTCCAAAAGAATCTAGACTTCTCTAGAACTCTTCAAAGCTTGATTTCGCTGTTATCTCGCGCCTTTTTGTTGCAAGAAAGCCTTGTATATATCTTCTTTTGATGTCCGTTACTATGAAAACGTATCCAATGATCTTTGACACCGGTTGCTATGACTATAAGTGGAAAGATGGAAAACCTTGTCATATATCATTGTACTACTATAGAAATGTATACAGTTACCTTCGAGTCAGGTTGCTAAGGTCTGTAAATGGGGGAAGGGAACTCGATGATCTTCAGCTAATAATCTATACTCAATATCTTTCTTCGAAATATGTGAGTTCCACAAAAATAAAAAACATATTATTTTAATTCTAAACTTACTGTTTCTTCCACTTTTTCGTTTCTGTATGGATTCTTTTTATAATTTCTTTTTCTTTGCTATTTCTCGTTTTAATCAGTAACTCCAGTGTATTCTTTGCTTCATTTAATGTATTCTTTGCTTCATTTAATTGAACCTGGATGAGGTCTAATCTATGATGAGTTTCATCAATTTTAACATTATATTCCTTCATTGTATTATCTTTTTCTTCGTATAAATCGAGTATAAATTTTGGTAAATCCGGATCCATGTTATTATGAACAATTTCTCGAACATTATCACTATTTGATGATTCATTATCATTTAAATATTGACCAGTAACTGCTACTGTATTAGGATTTAATAAATCATTGGTACGCGGTACAAGTTTTGTATTTGATAATTCATCATCAATTAACATTAAATTGTCATTTGGCAAATTATCATTACGTAAAAATACATTTTCTTTTTCTAAATGACCATTAGCTGACATTAAATTATCATTTGCTAAATCATTAGCACGTGAATATACACTTTTTTTTTCTATATGATCATCAAGTGAGAGTAAATCGTCATTTGGAAAATGATCACCATATGAAAATACATTTTCTTCTTCTAAATTTTCATCAAGTGGTAATAGTATATGATTTGGTGATTTGTTATTAAACTGTAATAGACTATTACGTGGTAATTTATCATCAAGTTGAGATGAATTTTTATTTGAGCAATCATTAACTACTGGTACTATACTTTCATCTTGTAATTTATTATCAGGTAGAACTAATTTTGTATTTTTTAAATCAAAATCAATTTCTAATAAACTCTGATTTGGTAAATCAGCAGTTGTAACTCTTAACATATTTTTATTAGGTAATTTATTAGCCAATGGTGGTGGACTATCATTTCGTGGTGATGTTGCTTCATTGATATTCAGTCTAAAAATATTACCATTTAAAATTAGTTCATCGTTAAGAGGATGAGGACAAGAAGTACAGAAACAGTAGTGGAGAAATTGTGACCCTTTGCCTAAGCTACTTTTCCGAAAGCATACTTTTACAAGTATCCGTAAGGCTGTTCCGCGAACTTTCTGGAAAGTAAGAGACGGTCAATATATACTTGTGTAAAGCAAAGATCGTTATAAACAATCCATAGTTGCAAAGATGCATCGCGACTAAATCCTACTTAACTAAAAACTAAAGAATGATCTCATTTACGCTTTCGAAAGAATTGCCCATCGATATTTCACCAAAAATGCCTACCTGACGAAGCTCTTCGTTCAGACTGTGGAACAAAATAGGCCAAGATCAAAGAACACGATACAAGAGAGGAAAATGCCGTTTTAGGCTATTTTAAGCGGCCTCTCGGGATCACGGCTGTTGACAAGAAGCTATTTCGGTGAATTCAATTAAACAATATTAGCATGGTCAATCTATTTCTATTATAATTCGTCGTACGAAAATACACCGTACCTTCTCACATATTCTATTTTCGATCTGCGCATCACATCTACTGTTTCAGATACATTCTTATTCTGTTTATTCTACTTATACATATGTATCACTTTTTGATCGTTCATTAAAAAAAAAAGATTTTATATGAATTCAATGCTACTACTGAGGCATAACTTCATATTGTACGTGATTTATTAGCAGTCTCAGAGTTCTCGTTCTTAGCAACCACCAATCTTGTGTGACTTCAAGTTCTTAGGAATCCATAGTGACTTTCCTCGAAATGGAAGAAAAAATATGTTTAAAGATCCTAGTGCGTTTAAAAAGTCGCAGAAACGAATTTTTTTAACTTCAAAATTCTGATGAATTGATTACTTAATTTATTATTTGTAATCTATTGTTATCAAATATTAAGAAAAATTTCTTTTCTAATTCATCAAGATAGCATATTCATAAAACAATAAAATAACAATTTTTTCTCTTCTGCTGAATTTATTACTATAAGATATGATTAAATCTATAAACTTACGCATTTATATGTGCAACTGATGTTTCAATTGAAGGTGAATTTGGTAGAGGAGCTAAAATAGGACAATAGTATTTTTATTTATTATGGTTTGTATTCTATTATCAAACTTTTGAATACTTACCAGGATTTCGAGCTGTTTCATCATAAATTTCATTATGCTGATTCACATTTCTCTTTTTTCGTCGCTTTCGAGTACATTGTGGAATCAAAATATCTACACAAAATATAATACTAGTTAGAAATGAATTTTAAACGATGTAGAATTTCTTTTGAATCACTTACTACCACTTTCAAAATAAAGTACTATTACAAGTGATTGAGAGTTCGTTGATGCAACTGCTTGTCTTGAATATTTCTTGAGCTGCTTTCGTACGTTTAAATTGACAGTTGATGAATTTCCATCAAGGACCACTGTTCGCCATTGATTTCCAAGTTTGTTCTTAATAAGTTGTTTCATTGGAAAGTACCTAAAAAGAGCAAAACATCTATTAGTTTGTATATAGAGAATTTTGACGATTACACTGTATTTAGTGAACGACAATTACAATAAATTTATTAAACGACGATTGCACTTGGTTTATTAAACGATGATTTGATCGGTTCAATCAATACAAAAGATATACATATACGTATATATATGTTATATATGTATTTTTTTCTCGACGAGCCTATTGTTCATGAATTTTCTTTGTTATTCTGAAGTGACCGACTAATTCTTCGATGACGACGATAAGTAATGAACGAAAAGTAACCAAACAAAGACAAATATAGCAGGACGAATAATACGGTACTTGTTTACTTTAATCATAGTACAGAACGAGAAGGAAAAATGATAAGTGGAAAAGTCACCATTACAATTTAATTCTATTTTCGGAACAAGAAAAAAAAAATGATCGATGAATAGATGGCAGTCGCAGATAACACCAGTGGATGATAAAAAAAAATGATAATTGATAGATGCTTTTTCTATCACCTTGATGTCATTTACGACTGCCATCTATTCATCGTTCATTTTTTTCTTGTTCTGTAAATAGAATTAAATTGAATGGTGACTTTTCCACTTATCATTTTTCTTTCTCGTTCTGTACTGGGTTAAGATAAGCTACACACACTTGCATGTATACATTGATAATCTCTTGTATTTTTCTATTAAGAAAATCAAATAGCCGAGGGAATTTCAATGTAATATATTTTAGATATCAATGGCCACATCTGATTCATTTGTAATGGATTCATTCAGTGATTCTTTATTAGCAGCTGTTACAGAAATATCTTTTTATGGACCTAATCATCCACAAGTTGCTGGTAAATTTTTTTCATTTTAATCAAAGAAAAAAAAAACCAGATTTTCATAAGTTTCTTTTTTTTCTTTAGAAAAACCTCCTAAACCTTTAATCGAACTGAATTTACCAACAGCTGTTATTAATTGTTATCAACGTTCTGGTATATCACATCTTTTTGCTTGGCAGGCTGAATGTATTGAAAAAGCAAGTGCAAGTGGTGAATATAATTTATTTATTTTAATTTCATTCAAATAAATTTCTATATATATTTATATAGGAAAACGAAATTATATTTTTTCTGCTCCAGGTTTGTTTGTTTAAAAATATTTTTATTTTAATTAGATTTTGTTCGTTTTTTTATTTTATATAGCTTCCGCTGGAAAAACAATTGTATCTGAATTACTTTGAATTAAATCAGTATTTGAAACAAAACGAAAAGCATTGTTTATTGAACCTTATGTTAGTATTGTTCAAGAAAAAGCTAATTATTTTCGAGTGAGTCTTATCTTTTCTTTTTCATTAAATTTACTCAAATTAAATAGTTTAGAAACTTTTTTCATCACTTCATTTACGTATTGCATCATATGCTGGTGCAAGTGATTCTCATCATTCATTTACCAATAGTCATATTATAATATGTACGATAGAAAAAGCGAATAGTATAATAAATCGTTTATTATCAAATCGTGATGATTTAAATGAAATAGGTATTATTATTGTTGATGAATTACATTGGATAGGTGAATTAAATCGTGGTTATTTACTTGAATTATTATTAAGTAAAATAATTTATTATAATCGTTTATAAACAACAATTAATCCTGTACAAATTATTGGTATGAGTGCAACAATACCTAATTTAAATCAATTAGCACAATGGATTAATGCTGAAACCTATGAAACAACATTTCGTCCAATACCACTTGAAGAATATATTAAAATTGAATCAATTTTATATAATAAACAATTTATGTCTATACGTCAAAATTACATTTATCTAATCAATGGAATCAAGGTGATAGTGAAGGCATAACTGAAATTATTTGGAATGTTATAGAACATAATTGTCGTAGTGTACTTGTATTTTATTCTACGAAACATTGGTGTGAAGTTTTAGCAAAATTATTAGCAAAAAATTTTCATCGAATTATTGATGATAAACAAATAAATCCATTTGATAGAACAAAACTTGAAGATGTTATCGAACAATTACGTCGAACTGTAAATAAATTAAGAGAAAAAAAGAAAAAAAAAACAAGATTAAATTTTATATTAATTATTTTTTTTATAGCCAGTTAGTCTTGATACTGATCTTGCTTGTTCAATACCAATGGATGTTGCTTTTCATCATGCTGGTAGAAAGAAATGTTTTTTTTTTTTTATCCAGTAATTCAATAAGTATTATTGTTTTAGGTTTAACGATTGATGAGCGAGAAATTATTGAAAATGCTTATCGTGCAAATATTATTTGTGTTATTGTTTGTACAAGTACATTATCTAGTGGGGTAATTGTATTGAATACAATACTATTAAGATGACAAAGGATTTGAGTTTAATCAAAAAGTATTAATAATTCATGGTTGGAACCGATCCGAAATCGAGAAACTTTTTTTTAACATTATCCAATCTGATCTGTTTCTTTTGTCATCTATTGATAAACTTATGCTGGAAGATTATTGAGATCTTAAACATTTGATTGAAAATAATTATCGTCATGTTTTGTTTTTTTTCTTGACTAGGTTAATCTTTCTGCTCGTCTAGTAATTATTCGAAGTCCACTTCAAAATGGTCGATGTATTGATCTAAGTACATGTCTTCAAATGATATGATGACGTTTGTTGGTTAAAATATAATTTTTTTGTTTCTTTGTCAGGTTGGTCGAGCTGGTCGAAAAGGTTATGATGATTATGGTAAAATGAATTATTTGATGTAGATATTTTGATTATATTTTGTTTTTTTTTATTTGATTAGCTGAAAGTATTTTAATTTGTTCAAAACAAGAAGTTAAACTAGTACAAAAAATGTTTGAACAACAAACAATTAAACCAGTAAATAGTTGTTTTTTTGAAGTCGAAACACATACAAGTCTTAAACGAGCTTTACTTGAAGTTATTTCAAGTCTAAAAGCTAAGACGAAAGAACAAATTATTTCTTATATTAAATCGACATTTTTCTATATTTGTGCAAATTCTAATAAATCGAAAATAGATGAACAATCAACTATTGATAAATGTCTTAGTTGGTTATGTCATAATGAACTTATTCATTGTATAGATAAAGAAAATATTGATAATGAAAATAATTTACGTTATGAACCAACATAACTTGCTTTAGCAATTATTAGTTCATCTATCAATCCAGATGATGGATTTAAACTTGTTGTCGAATTAAATAAAGCTCAACGACATCTATGTCTTGAAAATGATTTACATCTAGTCTATCTCGTAAGATATTTCTTTTGTAAAATTACATTGTTATAACAACAATTAAATTCAGATAATTCCTCAACATTTGATCAATTCAATGTTGACAACTCTCGATTGGAATGTATTTCATACTGTCTGACCAACTGGTGCTGTTGAACAACATGTCGTATATTTAGTTGGTGTTAATGGTATGATTGTATATAAAAAAGCAGCATGATTACGTATTGAAAAACGTGAATATGAAGAAAAATTAGATGGACCACATTATGCAAAATTTTTTATTGCACTTATTCTTAATGATTTATTATCAGAAAAAAGTATGTGTGATGTTATAAGAAAATATGAATCTACAAAAAGTTTTGTTCAACAATTACAACAAACAACAGCTACATTTACATGTATTGTACAAATATTTGCTGAACATCTTTCATGGAATAATTTAAAACAATTATGAAATGGTTTTCAATCACGATTAAATTTTGGTATTAAACAAGTATGAAATTTTATTAATTATAAAATCTTTAGAAACAGAAAAAACAAAAACTCTACTTTTCATCAATAGGAATTATGTGAACTTGTTTGAAATTTCAATTTTAAATGCTTATCGAGCTCGACAATTTTATTCAGATGGTTTTACAACTATTGTTTCTTTAGCAAATGGAGATGTTTATAAAATTGAACGAAGTATTCGTAAAGTAGTTCCATTTCAAACGTAAGAATATTTTATTTTTGTGGAACTCACATATATTTTTAAAGAAAATAGTGAGTGTAAGTTTACATCGAGGTTTTTGCCGCATCTTCTTCCCTAAGTCATAGCAAGGGGAAGGACGATCATTAGGTACGTTTCCGTAGCAACTAAGGACAACAGGCGACATACTCCTTTCCCAAAGTTTCATATCAATTGAAAAACGCTCTGAACGACATAAAGACTCAGACTGTTCTAGAACATTCCAAAACACTCCTCGAAACGTGAATGGCTGAAATACGTTCGCGAGTGTTCTAAATAATATAGTTTTTGATTTTTGCGTAGATAAAAATTTATACGATAGATGTCAAGGATGATAGGTAATAGAGTCTGTCGGGCTCAAAATTTTCGGATCCGGACCCGGTTAACAAAAAAATGGTAGACCCGAGCTCGACTAGGTCCAAGTTTGGGACCATTTCGACAAGCTCTAATGGGTAGTAATGTATTGATTTGTCACAGTCGTCATATGAAGCGTAAACTAATCCAGTCATAACTTTGGGAAATAATCAATATCAGTATTTCTGAGCTTATCGAGATATATAGTAATGTGTTGAGACCTTTTGTAGATATAATGAATATGTACAACAGGCTTGTTTACCAGTTAAATCAATGGTTAAAATAAGAATAATGGTAAATTAAGAAAAACGGAATACGAAAAAGAAAACTAACGAACAAATAGCAACAAGATCAACAAACAATAGAACGCCAGTAAAAAATTTCTTTTCGAAATGCAGAAATAAATAAAATAGATCACGTCCCTGGCGATCGATTATCCTTGGCAGAGGCGTAACTCAGCATTGGAGGAAGGGGGACAGGGAAGGAGAGTAGCTGAATTCCAGAAAAAGAGGCACTGTGTGAACAAATTTCAGTAGCAGGGTGGAGTGTCATACTCCTAATCCTTGGAAAACAATTACAGTCTACTAGAGATCTTTTACCTAACGTATTTTATATTAGTTTGATGAGGCTAACAAATACATGTAAGTTGCACAGCTGCACTGACAAGCTAACTTTCCATTGTTTTGATAAAGTAATTAAAGTTCTATGTAGAGCAGCACAACAATTAGCTGATGAATGTGTGAACCAAGTAAGACGTGATCAATATTGCATATTTGTATCTGATCGACCACCATTAATAAATGCACAAGCAGCACGAGAAATTATCGAAGAAGCTAAAGTATTACTTCAACATGATTTACAAGCAATGGGTTTTGGTATTGTAATTCAAAAACCACAGAATGATAATAAAGGTAGATAATTTGTTTTGTTTTTAAATATATCAATACACTTTTTTAGTTTGCTTGATAGATGAACATATTTCAAATTCGGATACAGATTCTAATGAAGAAGAAAATGACAATGAAAGTGATAGTTTTTCATCAAAATTATCTTCAACTATACAATTTCCATGTTTAATTGATGATAAAAATATAAATATTCGTAATGCTTATGTTGATGGAAAATATATTTGTTCAGAATTTACTTTAATGATTGAACATAAAGAAACTACTGCTATTAGTTGTTTTACCAAAAAGATAACAAAAAAGATTTCTGGTATATAATTTAAATTATTTTTTATTTAAATTATAGAGTTTTTTTCTTTTCTTCTATAGATCCAAATGTTTTTCATATTAATAATTAAGAAAAATTATATTTACAATATGTTGCTTGTGCTTTTAGTATTCATAAAGTTTATATCATTGACATTGCAAAAGATGAACAATGTAAGATATGAAAAGCACTTTAGCCATGTTCTGCGTCATAATTAATATTAACGGGTGATGCATAATAAACGGGACAACATGTTTTCTTCTTTTTAGTGAACTTACCAACACATTAGAGACTCGATAGAGAATTTTCTGCTCTAAAAAACCTACTGTCTTTGTTTTTCAAATAAATTTTTTTTTTTTTGTCGGCGCGAAATCTAAAAGATGAACATCTACTCAATCGTCTAATTGCGACGGTCAAAAACCGAAAAATTTCTCATAAAGATTTTGCTGAAATTAACAAACGTATCATAGACTAAGTCTCGCTTTGCAAAACATGGTTCTTCAGAGTTCGTTTCGAAATATCACTAGGTGTTGGTTCAAAGCCTTTTTCTTCTGAACAACAGCAGCAGATACCTTGGAAAAGTTGTGGAAGCAGAAGACACGAAATTCTCTATCTTTTGATACTAAATATTATATTTTTAACATTGCTTCTGATGAGAAAAATGTCTGCAGAAAATTGGAAAGCCGCAGTTCGACGAGTGAGTCGGTGTTCATCTTTTAAATTTTGCACCAACAAAAAAAAAAAAGTTTTTTGAAAAAGGAAGACGGTAATTTTGTAGAGCAGGAAATTTTCTATCGAGTCTTTAATATGTTGGAAAGTGCCCTAAAACGAAGAAAAAATTTTTTCACGTTTATTAGATGCCACCCGTTAGATCAGCTTTCATTTAATTTCAAAAAATACGAAAAGTAAAAATAATTCGAACAATTTTCATACTTCAATAAACAATGAAAAACGTGTGAAGGGATTCACTAGTTTATAATTCCGTTTGGTAAGATTTCTAGTGCAACGCATCCTAATATAGAAAGAGTAATGCCTTAAAAGTATAAGAGAAAAAAAACTCGAATAGAAAATAACTCAACGAGATGATGATTATTATATTCATAAAAACAAAATCGCTTATATTTAAGTTCACCTAGAGGATGTCATTACATCCTGATTGCAGACACTTTTTGCGTCAATGTCTCTATGCAAAGTTTCAAGTTGAAATTCAAAACTCAGTTTTCCTGAGGCGGGGGGGGGGGGGGGGGGGAAGGCACGACATTCTGCTAAAAAATATAGTATTTCAGAAGTAATAAGCTATTAGTTCGAACTCTTTTCAGAGTATTCATAGCTTATTAGAACCTACATAATGTACATAGTCGTGAGTCTAAAGCGATTTAATATTTAGAAACGTTCCATTGTTAATTCTCACGGTTCGATCATGCTTTATAAAATTGAGCTATTTTTTCTTGAAATAGAGTCGAGATTAATCTAACGAGAGAACCTCTCCAGATGTCACATCGCTTTTCGATCAAGACGATATTCATTTCATAAGTACTAATGAGTAATAGAAAATTTTAGAATGGTTTGCTTTTCCGAGCCTTCATTCTTGAGATATCGAAACTTTGCCAGATTTTTCAACAAAAAGCTGTGATCACGTAAAAAATCCACTTTCGATTTTTGACTTCAAATTTTGCACGAACAAAGTCAGAGCTGGAACCGGTCCGGCCGGACCGGACCGGACCGGACAAGACCGGACAGAGAAGTCAATCCGGCCGGACGGGACCGGATTTTCGCCAGTTCATCATGATCAACTGTTGCTTGTACTTAAGAGAGGTTTCGCGAGTCAATCGAGCATCCGTCCATAGGGTCATTTTATGAAAAAATTTAACATATATATTTTTCTCCATCAATCGATTCCTCTCGGAAAAGTGGGGTTACCAAAAACTTGTTACGCTCCTGTGATTTGATTTGATAGAGTTATAGGCGTTAGAATAGAAAGGGGGTATCAAAAACTAGAAAAAACGATCAGTTTCATTGTTTTGCCGATATCTTCACTATTATTTTTCTGCTCAGGTCGGGCAACATCTCATTCGAAAGAGCACGTAAAACTAGACAAAAAGCTTCTCATAGAAAACTGCGCTTTTGCATCGAAAAATTTCACATTTTTTAAATCAATTTTCTTTCATTGTAAGCCCTTCTTAGTATGATAATTGTTTGGGAGCGAACTTTAATATAGTACATCTTGTAGAACATTTTGCATTCTACAAAATCGTTACTTTGGCTTAATAGTCAATTCAACTGTTTATTTTTCTCTATCTTGTCGCATAGTTGAACTCAGGTTATATATTTGTATATTTTGCTCTATGTTAGCAGTTTCTTTGATGAAGAGAAAAAGAAAAATGTGTGTATCTCATTGTAATTGTTATTGAACTTGCTCTTTTTCACTTTTGTAAATAAAAATGAACAAACAGACTTATGTGATCTATTGACTTTTCTCAAAATTTCACTAGAAAGTTGAAATATCTTTCGACACGATATAATGAATATAAGTATATATCCTAGATTTTGATTCTTTGTCCAAATTTCTATCCGTCATTAATGAAGATTGCTCCTTGCCACTATTTTAGCAGACAAGTTATTGTGTGCTCGTCTGTCTTTGCCGGATTTTCACCAGTTTGGCTTCAAAAACCATCTAGCCGGACTGGACCGGACACATAAAGTCTGTCCGGTTCCACCTCTGAACAAAGTTCTTAATGAGATTAGTTGATTGTTCAACTAGTATTTTCTTTCTGAAGATGTAAATATATGAACAAAATTTGCCTTGCCACATGAGAGAATTTTGAATATTGAATATCTCAGGATAGGAGATACTAGAAAAGTTACAGCTTGCTCAATGAACTAAACTCATTGAGAGCTTTGTTCATGCAAAGTTTGAAGTCAAAACTCGAAAGTCGGTGTTCTACGTGACTTGAGGGAAACCACAAACCCAGTAAAACTTCGATATTTCAAGAACGAACGCACGGGAAACCAAACTATTCTAGAATTTTCTATTACTCATTAGTACTCATCAAATGAACATCATCTCGGATGAAAAGTGATTTGAATCTCATAAAGAAGAGATGTTGGACTAAAACATAAGGTTCTATCTGTCTAAAATTTCGATTTTTTTGTAAAACAAACTATTTTTCTTTTTTAGACTTTCAATAACATCGGATGTCGGCTCATATTCACATACGAGAAAAGTTAATGAATTGAAAACATAATGTAATTGTATTCAATGCATTACATACATTATTTACACTCTCATCTTATTTAGCTATACCAAGAATATATGGTTGGTTTTGTTTTATTTTTATTTTTTTGTTGTTGAATACTTTTATTTATAATTCTATATTTTGTTAGCACGAATTATTGATTTACAAATATGTGCATGGTTAAAACAAGATCCTATTGAATTCGATCGAATTTCAACTTGGATTGAAGAACATCATAGTGTACTTCAATTTGATAGTAAAATAAAATAATCATAAGATAACTAAAATTATTTCTATTGTTTATTTTGATAACAAATATTGATGTATATAAAGATGATAGTCATCGTGAAATGGCATGTTTAAAAATTGCTAGCGAAGTCCTCCTATATGCATCAATTGTTCCAATAATTAAACAACAAATGAATAAAATAAATTTATGGAATTATTATATAACTATTGAAATGCCAGCATTAAATATTATTCTTCAGATGTTACTCAATGGAATTTTAATTGATCGTGAAGAATTAATTAATGCTCGAGAAGATCTTCTTGTATATATATATATATATATATATAAATTTTCATCTAGATTTATTTATTTTTAATCATTATGATTAATTTTAGACTCTAATGAATAAACTTGAATTACAAGCATATCGTTTAGTTAAACGTCGTTTTAAAATGAATAGACAAAAAGATCTTATAAAAGTTAATAAAATTATTTTTTTTTCATAATGTTTTTTTTTTCTTTAAATTAAATGTTATTTTTAGATTCTTTATGGTGAACTTCATTTACCAATACAATATACACCACATGGTCGTATATGTTTTAAAAAATCTTATTTAAATGTTTTAGCTGATAAACATCCATTACCAAAATTAATTATTGAATATCGACAAGTTCAAAGTGCTCATGATCGATGTATTGATCATTTTGAACAGGTATTCAGTTTGAAAATTTCGATATTTTATCTCGCTTATTTAGTATATTAATGAACCAATTAAACCACAATCATTACAACGTTTACGACGAGAAGTTTTATGGCAAACTGAACGTACTTATGCTTATTGTCATTTTTTTACAGCAACTGGACGTATGATTATTGTTAATCCACCATTACAACATGTTCCAAAACATTTTCTTATTCAATCATTACAAAAAGAATCAACAATTCGATTACGAAAAATGATTGTTGCTCGAGCAGGTAATGATAAATGGTAAATATTGTAAAACAAAAAGTAACATCTTTTTTGAATGTAATGAAAAAAAATCTACAAGAACTTATGTTCAACTATTATTCAATAGAACTTTAACTTACAAAGGAAGTTCTCCAACTGATAAATTGCTTTTGAGTCGAGACTATGTGTATTATGTAGACACAAATGAGCTATGAGCTTCCTGAAAAGAGTTCGGGCTCTTAGCTTATTGCTGCGGAGATACTGTACTTTTAAGGTATTTTGTCAAACACAATCTAAAAGGAATGTTGAAGTATATAGAGTAGAAATTTGCACTCACTTCCTCTGCCCTCTCTTCCATAGGTCATGACAGGCACTTTGACCATTCTCTCCTTTAGGGTGCGAATAACAGCTATATCGTGTTTCACATTTTAATCTCATAGGGATTGTGCTAACAGCTTTTTTTTTTAAATGAATGCCGTGGCCTCCCTCAGAAGGAACACCAGAAAAGATGATTATTCGACTTTCGACTTGAAACATTGAACACAGACATGTATTAACGAGAATAGTTTTATGTGAATGTTTCAGATCTTGTCGCTGTTCCTATAGTAATATATAACTATGATAATAGTGTGTCTTTTACAAATCACTCATATAAACTGGTAGAATTTATGTTCTTATTTCAGGATAGAAGAAAATCAAAAGACCTGAAACTACTTGCGTTCAAGCGTGTCTCTATGCAAAGTTTCAAGTCGACATTCGAAAATCAGTTTTCTGGGTGTTCCTCAGGGGACTACGGCATTTATTTAAAAACTTTCATAAATCTGAAGTATCTAAATAGCTTTAAGCTAAAGGCACAAACTCTGCTCAGGGTGTTTATAGTTCATTTTGATCTACAGAATGCACATAGTTTCGACTCAAAATCTATCAATCAGTTGGAGGACTACCGTCGTTAAGAAAAAAATATCTATGGAGAAAAAATCGCATCATGGAATTTTGGTGTGAAATTTCGCTATAAATAGAACTTCTGATTGACTTGATATTAGATGATTCAAAGAATTCGAAGAATCGACTATCCTTCAATGGTGCTTATTTCGAGAGAAAAAAGTATTTGTTTAGTTGGAACTTTTAAGGTAATCAAAAGACTATAAGACCTGTTTCAAAGCAAGTTTTTCAGCTGAAATTGCGTAAATCAATTTCTTTTATGCATACTATATATTTTGTAGTTGACTGAAATCTCGTCCATGCATAGAAACTTTGAGGAATTTTTTTACTGTGATTAAGAACGTTGTTAATTCTTCTTATTAGCTAAAATCTGGAGGGGATCAAGAAGGAGAGACATGCAACTTACGAGGAAATCTCGCCAAATGATAAATTGATTTTGAAATAAGTCTTATCTCATTAGATAGATTCTATTGAGACTAGAGAAAGCTGAAAAGTATATGTGTCTATGAGCATTTCTTTTTGAGCTATGGCCATTTTAGTAATTTTTTTCAACACAATGCTCTGATCCTCATAAGGTCACCTTCAAAGTTGATCTTCGAGTTTCGATTTCAAACTTTGCATATATAAAGTTCTGAATATGGCTAATTCATTATGAAAGTATTAGATTTTTTAGTTCATCTTATCCGCAGATACAATATTGAAAATTCTCTTAAGCGAGAAACCAAATTTTGTTTTTATATATTTATATATCAGGATAGAAGATGTTGGAAAATCTGACACTTTCAAAACATACTATTCTCGTTGAGAACTTTATTTGTGCAAAGTTTGAAATCGAAAATTGATTTTAAAGGTGATCTCACGAGGATTAGAACATTCTGTTAAAAAATTCACTAAAATAGCCATAACTCAAGAAGAAAGATCTACAGACACAAATTCTTTAGGATTGTTTCTACTTTCAATAGGACCTATCTAATTGCGTAGGAGACTCATCTCAAAAAAAGACTTTTCATTTGACAAATTCTCCTCGATCGGTGAATGACGTTATCACAAGAGTTCAATCTGGTCAGTATGCATTTCGACGATCTTCAATTCGATGACCAAAGCTATCGGTGATATTTTATTGGATTCATAAGGAGAAGATCTCGGTAAGACTAGAAGAATCCTAAAAGGGTTCGTGCTCATAGACCCCCTGAAGCCGAGTAATGACCATTTTACTGAATTTTCGATCTACCAAAAAATCAAATAACGGAATTTCGAACCGAAACTTTGCCTATAGATAGATCTATTGACCCTGGGAAATATTCTAAAAATTTCAGCCAAAAAGAATGTTCATTTGTTGAGGTATTGAATTTTCAAGTAAACTCGACTTTTATGACATATCTGTGGCCAACGATTATGTTTTTGAAAATTCAATATCAGGTCGAAATTCCATTATTTGATCTTTCGATAGATCGAAAATTCAATAAAACGGTCATAACTCGACTCCAGAGGTCCATCTGCACGAACCCTTTTAGGACTTTTCTAGCCTTACCGAGACCTCCTTGTGAACCCAATATGAATTCAAACAGCGGGTATCAGTTCGTGGTAATTCCCTCATTAGTAACTAAGAAAAATCCAGGTCAGAGTTCATGATGCACATATCATAATGGAATAGTCACTTTCTCTATATGGAATATACCTAAAATACGAATGAAAGGAATGATTGCCGAAACGAAGGTCACTGGTATCGATCATCGAGAGAAACTTGGCCATGAGGTATACAATCTTCAATCTTTTATCGACTTTCGACAACATCAATTGATGTCCCCGATATTTTATCATCATAATTCATATAACTAATTTTAACTTGATGATCACAATGAATAGATCTAATAATTAACTGTGCATTATATAATGTGTTAGCAATCATCTTCTTTCCTTTTATAAATTTTCTCCATTGTTTCATCAAATACAACTTCTTTCTAGATTTTCAACTCGTTTCTTTTGATTATTCTCAATTGGAATTATGTGTTCTTGCTCATCTTTCCAATGATGAAAAATTAAAAACACATTTAATAAATGATACTGATTTTTTCATATCACTTGCTGCTGATCTTTTAAAAAAACCAGAACATGAAATAACACGTGAACAACGTCAAAATGCTAAACAAGTATAATTTTTTTTTATTACTATTTTTTGTTAAAAATATTTTCGATTAATTTCTAGATTTGTTATGGTATTCACTATGGAATGTCAAAAGAAACATTTGCACGTGAAACACAAAATGAATATCAATGAAGCAGAAGAATTTGTTGAAAATTTTTATAAAACATTTCCAATAATGACTCAATATCTTGATGATATTAAACGATGTGTTCTTGATATTGGTTATGTACAAAGTATTTATGGACATCCATTATATTTTGATTTAAATCAAATGACATCGAGCGAAACAATGAAAGCTCGAGTAATTCAAATTGAATTTTTTTAAGTAAAAAAAAATTAAAATTTTTTTTTGAAAAGATAGAACGACAAGTAATAAATTTTGTTATTCAAGCATCTGCTTGTGATATAATGAAAGTGGCCATGGAACGCATTAATCAAACATTAGATCGAATGTTTCCTTTTGATTTAAAAAGTAAAAATAAAAAAGACAAAAATATTATTTTGTTTTTTTTTTACATACAAAAAAAGAAATATAACGATTTGTTTGTTTAGTTCGTCCAACACCTATTCGACCAGTTTATCTTGTTTTACAAATTCATGATGAATTAATATTTGAAATTGAAATAAATTTACGTACAAATGAAATTATTAATATAATTCGTCATGTAATGGAAAGAAATGATCATATTAATTTATTACTACCAGTACAAATTAAATTGGGTGATAATTGGGAATCAATGATATCCGTTCAATCAAGAAATCGATATTTTTGATTATATTTTTTGTACAAAAAAAAAAAAAAAAAAAAAAAACAAATCTGTTTGTTAGATAGTTTTCTGAGCATGCTCGAAAATATGATTCAATATTAAGTTTATCCGTTGAAGAAATAAAGATTTTCTTATACAAATATATTTAGAAAAATCAAATATTTTATTACAATAAATGAATCAGCTTTTTATAGGATACAATTTAATACATGAAGTTTTCTTTGTTGAGTTTTAGTTTATTTCTAAATTCTTCTTATCGATCTTGCAACATCTATTTGATAGTATAGTTGTTAGCAGATCTCTGAATGGACTCGATAAAAATAAACTTTTCTCAACTAATCTCACATTGAAATAATGTAAGCATTCCATCATTTGCGAAAAATTTCAATGAGAAAATAAACAAAACGAACAGGTAAGACGTAGTATTGTTCTGTTTTAACTAATTACGTAGTTGTATAGAAAAGTTATTTGAATTTGAAAAAGTTTTTGAGACCAGCCTTTTTGGTCATTAAGTAGAGTCTATTGAGGGTAAGTAAAATCTATAATGACTTGTCCACTAACTTCCATTTTCGCCGAATGAATTGATAATTGATAACGAGTCGAAATCAAATATGATCAATTCTATATATAATATTTTATTATAATTAATTAATGCATTACCAAATCGATCGATTACAATCTCAGTTGGTTGTCAACCTGATTAAATCTGCTACCTGATCGAAATTTTGAGTGTGGACGGAGAGAAGAATGAGAAGGTCCCCATCCAAACTCACCTTCTAAGTTTGCTACTGGCTAAGATGGTAACATCTATTAGCCAGAGACTTCTGTACGACCTCAGATTTTCGAAAAAATCGTCTTTTTGAATTTGGTCTTCAAACTATCTTCACTCGAAGATTTCATATAAAGTAGCTTGTATGATGGATTTCAAAATTTGTAGACTTCATATCTCCGAGATACGAACTTTTCAAAATATTCTTGTATGATTCATTACGTTTCAAAAAGCGTCTATTTTTAAAAAGTTTTTATCTCAAAGATACGAAGTCTATAAGCTCTGAAAATCTTCATGCATGCTACTGTATTCGAGACCTTTAAATGAAGGTAGTTCCAAGACCAAACTCAAAAACATAATTTTTCCGAAATCTTGGGTCCTACAGAGATCTTTGGTAAACAGACACATTTAAAACTCACTAACTCCATTAAGTCTTCATAGGAACTGAAATTGTTTTATAACCTTCACTAGAATACTAGGTTAAAAAAAAATTGGACGAGAAGCAACTGTTGATATTCTCTCGTCAATAAAATTATCATAACTCGAGAAGAAAACAATGCGTGGGTAATTAACCATTATAGGTTTTACTTACCCTCAGTAAACTCTACTTCATGACAAAAGTCTCATCTTAAGAGCTTTTTTTTATCATTTCGAGAGGTGCCTTCGTTAGTCACATTCATCATATTTATTGTTTTCTGATTTAAACAAAAACTTTGAACACTTAACTCATTATATAATTCATTATTTATTTTTCTTCTCTGTTATTTATTTCAAAAAAAAACTAAAAGGAAATAAAAAAAAAAACTTTATCATTCATTGATTTCATGAAATTTTTAAGCTAAATTATTTGCAACTAAAACAGTTGGTTTAGTAACTACATTTAACCCTTTGAGTTCCGGTGGGACGCATACGTCCCACCTTGAGAATTTTCTAATCCTCAAGTTTTTGAGGATCTTAGAGAACTATTTTCAATAACTGTTAGAAGCTAACAGAGGTCTCTATTAGATTGCATGGATGATAGGATATATGGAGGACGTTGAAAAGTGCACCATGCCAAGTTTCCTTAGTCCAAAAAAGGTTTGAGCACATAACCTGGATTTTCAAAATTTTTCGTTCATTTTCCTGTTCTTCAAAACCTGTATTCAGCAGATATATCTGAGGCACTATGATAATTCAGTAGTTTGCAAAAGATTAAATTCATTTATTTTATTTAAATCAATCCTCAACAATACAATTATCTTCTGTACATATAATACGCAATATCAATGTGTATGTCCGAACATCGAGTGAGCATAGGTTTTTCATATCGAGGCCACCGATTTGACCAATTTGATACTCGAGGATATTTAGAATGTGTCGTTTATTTGTACTGCACTCGTAGGTAATTATCGTAGTGGGAAAAGGGTAGGAAGACCTTTCTCGATAAGTAATCAGAAGAAAAAACGCATTGAAAGGAGCATAAGGGATACAAATAGTTCCGAAAAATCACAACTTTTGGCTCATATGCCAAAAGTTATTTCAATTTATTATTGATGCGCTTGTTATAGCTAGGGGTGGGAAGTTACCGTTCCCGGACCGTTACCCGGGAACGATAACGGTTGCTACGGAAAAAGTTACCAGTTACCAGGTAACTGGTAACTGCGCCGTTACCGTTACCCGGGAACGGTAACGGTAACTTCCCACCCCTAGTTATAGCACAAAAGAAAGAGAGAAAAGGACGAATATAATTTGAAACTTTTACTGTGTTGGTCTGTGTGTAAAAAATTGTTTTTTGTTGTATCATAGAAACTACATGTATCGGTAATGAAATAAATAAATGTTTCAGTAATTATAATAGCAATTTTTTATTAAGATGCAACAATAACAAAAATGTTTTAATCTTCATGTGGCCACGTGCTTTCTTAATTGTAATTTAACCACATGCTTCATAATGTCACCTAGTTAGTTTATACCCGAGTTTCATCAAATTCGGTTCAGTAGAAAAAAAGTCAGGACTCAAAGGGTTAATATTTTATCATCATATATGTGTCACAGTTAACATGAGAATGTTAGTTTAAATTGGAATGCGCAACATAATTTTAAAAAAAAGCTAAAAGAATTTTTTTGTCTTATTTAAATAAGTTCAGTTGAGTTTGTTAAACGCGAAAAAATAGAAAAAGATTCTGCTAGAAAAAAATTTATTATAGGAATAAAGCTTTACAAACCATATGAAGTGGTTGATTTAGAGAAGAGTTCACAAAATTAACTTATATTAAACTCCGTAAATAAAAAAGAGCTTTTTTGGACCTGATGAATTCAACTTTTTTGTACCTGAAATCACACTCACTTTATTAAATTTTTTGGGCCTGAACTCACATTTTCAATAGCGCTTGCCGGATCTGAATTCAGAATGAACTCACCAGCTTCTAACATGGACAATCTAAGGTGTGTTAGTCGTCGAATAGAAATATTTCAGACATAACATCCTGCATTTTCAAAGCTACTTTCGAATTCTAATAAAAAAAAAAACTTTATTCAAGATGTTATCGGTAAAGATCTGTATCCGACAAATCTCTATTATTAATTCGCCTTATAAATTGTTTACGTGACTTTGACAAATAGAATTCAAATCGTACTATTCTAAGCTTTTGTAAATAATTGAATGACTAATAAAAAAAACATACATTTACTTTAGACATCCATATATCGTAAAACAAGTCAAAATTATTGAGAATTTATGCTTACAAAGAAAGATCGAAAAAAATCATTTTGGAAACGATTGATTAAATCAATTGAAAAAATAAATTGATTTATTTATCTATTTACATTTTTCTGTCTGTTTGTAGTATCAATAGATTACTGTTGATTGGAACTATTTCATTGCTGAAGGTAAATCTTAACAAAAAAACAAAACAAAACAAAATAAGTATTCATTTATTTTTATTCAATTAGGTGATGATGACGAGGATGATTTGGATGGTGCCGGTGGTAAAGATAGAGGTAATTTAGGTATTAAAATATTTCAATAAAAAACAAAGATTTTTATTAAAATGTTTTTTTTTCTAGATGAAATGTTTAAACAAATGGGAAGTGGTGCTTCTGCACATCATCTGAATGATCTTGATGATGAAGATACAAACAGTGATGATGAATCAATGCCTGATTTTGAAAATGTACCAAAAACAAATGATGAAAAAAATTAATTTGGTTAATTTCATACCTTTTTTTTTTTCTTTTTCTTGAAACCATACACGCATGTTAAGTAAACAGTGAAACTGTTATCATTACTTTTAAATAAAAAAAAAAAAAAGTCTGATTCTATTCATGGTCATCATTCGAATAAAGCATGAATATTAACTAATGAAGAATATGATTGTTTATATTAATCTGAACATCAAGATCGTCAACAAGTATTTGTTTTCAAACAAAATCAATATGATAAAAATGCTCAAATTTTTAAGATGAAAATAATATTTAAGATTTTTTTTGTTATTAATTATTATTATTATTATTATTGTTAAATTTTAGGTTTTAAAACCAAATGGTTATCTTTTACTTCGTGATTATAATTTATATGATCATGCTATATTTCGTTTTTCTCATTAAAGACAACATAAATTATCAGAGAATGTTCATGTTAGACAAGATGATACATGTGCTTTGTTTGTTTTATTTTCTTTTTTAATTGAATATTTAAGAAATTTATTAAATCAATGTCAATTTGATATTAATGAACTTTCATATGTATAAAGAAACAGTGAATATTAAAGAAAATATTTGTGTATCATGTGTTTTTGTACAAGAAAAATTTAAAAATAAAAAAGAATTTGCTATTATTTATTGTCCTGATATTTCTCATGAATCATTTAGTATCGAATATAAATAAATGAAAACTAATTAAAGTCGTAATAGTTCAGTCACTGCACATGTTTCATTCAATGGAACAAACTGTGAAAATAAAATACTTAATAGTTCTATTTTATAAAATAGCTAAAAATGCCTTAACATCAAGATAATACAAGCTGTGGATTAGTTTTATATCACTACTTTGTGCCTCATTGAGAATTTGTTTTCATTCTATATTTTTGGAGAGAGAACAAGAAAAAAATCAAGGATATATCTGTCGAAATAGTGTAAGATAGTATGTTAGTCTATACTATTATATATAACATTTTGTATTTAAATCGATTGTGATATTTCACATTTTCTCCTTTGTTTCTGTGTTCGTCACGTCACGTGATAACATGATATTAGATGTCTGGATATTTTGTTAGTGTGTCATTGTTCACACTGCTATAAAGAGTTCAGCGTAATCGCTAATATTCATTTCCAAATAAAACCATCATCATATACGTATTTCTTTTTCTTTTTTAGATGTCAGAAGAAATAAAAACTCTAGAGTTTTTTGATTACGTAATCATAATTATTTTCATCATGGCTGTTGTAGCAATCATAATATTTAGCATACATGAGTGTATGCTTTGTCGTGTTAATATTCCAATGAAGAAAATAAAGAAAATTAAAAACAAATAAAAAAAATAAAAAAAAACATTAAAAAACTATTTAAAAAAAGTAAGTGATTTTATTGTATTTTATCTAAACGTACAAAAATGAGATCTTTCTAATGATTATTTCATATTAAATAGAAACAAAGAGAACTTTTTTTTCTAGAATTTATGGTCATATCAATTCAATAGATACTCAACATAATCTCTATGCTCAACTATTTGTTAATCATGTTTATGATGCTGATTTATTAGTCTTTAAATTAGAATCTTATAAAATCAAACAATATGTTACACGTTTAGTCACTTGTCGTTTATATACATAACCATCAGATATTAAACAAACAATATATGAAATAGCTAATGAAACAATTGATAATTTTAAACAAGAACAACCTTGATTAGATGGTAAATGGCAATCAATACATTTAACTAATCCTTTAAATAAATATAATTTTTTAATACGTGGTATGAAAAAAATATTCTCATACAATATCAAATATGAATTTAAATAATTTAACAACATTAGAAGATGTTTATAAATATTTTTCAACACCTAACCTGTTAAAGATATACATATACTTGAAGATTTACAACAATCATCTGAATTACCTAAAAATATTCCTATACACAATTAGATGCTGTACGTTTTAAACCTGAAACAAGTATCTTTTCTTTTTAATGATATTGATACATTTCTAAAACGATCAGCAAAAGTTATTCATTTATTGTATAAGAAAAAATATCCATCATATCCAAACAATGAAGAAGATTAATTTAAAAATAATATTTACTAATAATTTTTTTTTCTTTTTTTTTGTAATCAAATTTGTTTGTTTATTACATTAATAAAAAAAAAGACACAAGTGTGTATCGGTATGATTTTCTTTCTTTTTCGGGATGTTTAAACTATTTATTAAGAATAGCAATAATGTTGATGTTGATTTGCATCTTAATCATTTACTTGTACTTGAAAAATCACATAGACCTAAAATGATGATTTAATAAAAATAATGATTATTGTAAAAGAAAATTTAGAAACATTGATCAATCAAAATGTCGAAACTAATGAGAGAACATTCACAAATGTCGGACACCGATTGAGTTCATAGTTTGTTCATATGTAAGACTCGGCGATATTAGTAAAAATTCAAAGAGATATTTACACCCATACGTTGTTCTTCCAAAGTTATGACCGTTTTTACTGAATTTTCAACATCTGACAAGCTACCTAGTTAAAGTTCAAATGACGCAGGTTTTGACATGAAATTTTATCCTAAGTAAGAATCACCGTTATTACATTGCTATGAAAGTTTCACTTGAAACGACACAATTCCTTCTCGAGATATTCACTAATTAAAAAGTTGATGTTCTGATCTTTGCCTATGAAAGAAAGAAAAATTTGTTGATCATTCAATATCTCGAGAAGGAATCATGTTTTTTTAAGTGAAAATTTCAGAGCAATCTAATAACTGTGACATCAACTCATCAATTAATATTTCATGTCAAACTTGCATCATTCAAACTTTAACCAAATAGTTTGTCAGATGTCGAAAATTCAGTCAAACGGTCATTACTTCGGAAGGACAATGCATGAGTGTAAATATCTCTTTAGGTTTCTACTAGTCTCGCTAAGTCTTATATATGAACAAATGATGAGCTTGATCGACATCCAACTGCTCAGGATCTTCCGTCGTAAGATAGAAAAACTTAAACTTTTCTATGATATAGGCTTTATTATGTTCAATCTTATTATTTTCTTACATTTTGAAATAGTTCAGTCAAATAATTAATTAAAAAGATCGATATCTCATATAATATTATTCAATCTTTCACCATTTATACAATATACTCATCAACTGAAATAACAAAAAATTACTGTTAATGGAAAAAAATATCGTAGAACATAACTGATTTCTTCAAGTTTTGTAACCAAAACAAAAATAAATATAAATTGATAATAAATTTCAAACGATTATCAACTAACAACTTTCATCTTTTCTAACACTTTGATAAGATTTTCAATAAGAATACTATTAAAGATATTATTTTGTCAATTAATGTCAATAAAAAAAAAGAACATAATCAATATTAATTCTGATGAATAACATTAGCGAAAAGACAAGAATAGCTCATACAAGAACAAAAAAAATTCGAATCAACTTTGCAAGTCCTTTTTTCAAATAATATAATAATTAGCAGAAAATATTTTGACTTAGATCGAGTGAAGAAAATAAACTAACAATGATAGTATAGATATATATAATAGATTTTTTATTCTACTACATTCACAATTACTATTGAAAGAAAAAAAAAAACTAATCATAAGTTGATATGTAAATGAATAATACAGTAATCATTTTATCCATATGTTCACAAAAGGGATTAATATCATTGATATTTATTGTAAAATAAGGATTTTTGTACAAAATTCATATATCACTACAATTCATAATTCTATAATTCATGATAAAATCAACAATTATAGTATACATCGAGAAACAAATAACAGGAAATGGTAAACCAGGCATAACACGTACATGCCACTTATGTCCAATAAGTCTTGTACCATAATAACCGACTTGTATAGAGACTATACATCCAAATGCCACGAATATTTTTGTTGTCATTGACCAAGCTGGATGCATAATAGATAAGACCATAAAATTGAAATGAGTGAAATCACCAAGACCAAGAGATCCTTTAGAATGTTTATTGTCTTCATCGTCGTCTTCGATGTCATACGAAAGGTAAGCGTCATATCTCACTACTTGCGACCATACATTGTAAAAATATCCTTTATAATGAAGACATATAACACTGAAATATAAGATAATGATAATGTCAAAAAAAATACGATCTCATTTTTTATTTAATCTAATATTCAACAATTAACTCTTATAATTCATTTTCAAAAATACTTCGATTTTTTATTCAATTAACATAATACGATCTAAAACTGAACACTGAAATTCTATAAAATCTTAAAGGTAACTAAAATAAAAAAATTACGAAATCATGATTACGTGTTCAAATACCTACAAGATATTTCCATATTTAAAACATAAGTTAAACAAGTAATAAACCTCATTTTTAAAGATTATATCATGATGTTATTTGGACAGAGTCGTTTATATATATGAGATATAGTAAAATTAGTTTTTATTTCACTTACATGTCATACAATGATAACAACCATAGAAAACCAATTTTGAATTGAAATGATACATTATGAAAGGCGATATCATAAAGGAAAAATGCTCTAATAGAAGTGGATAAACAGCATGATGCTTGTGGAAAAATGAAAAGAGGCCATGAAAGCTTATAACAATCCCATTTACACATAAGATATATAAATTGCCAAACAATGAAATAGATAGTAAGTATATCTAATTGATACCAACAATTTTCACTATCACAATAACGAGCAAAAAGCCAAACAATAAACAATGTGAAGATTGTCATACGGATATAATTAAACACACGGTAACCATAGCATAATAGTAATACGAATATCAAAATAAAAGCGAAAATGACCATATATACCTTATAACCACTATTCTCATTAGTAATCACGACATAGTTACACATAGTACAATCTATATGATATAATTGATTATAAAGAAAATTTATATTTGAAAAATACTTACTAAATCCATTTTGGAAAGAACAAGTTTTAGTAAGCGTCATAACATGGATACCATCTTTTATTTCTTGTATAATTGAATGCTTTGCTCTCATATGTTCAAATATACAATTCATTGTAAATGTCATGAGCATACTCAAAGTGGTAGCTATGATGATATTCCAATAAGATTTCATTGTTTATCACAGTTGTAATGGTCAAAAGCTAGTGTTGTATTATAGAATATTGTTTCTGTAGATTATGACAATGTTTATATGAAAAATATTATTAAATGAAAATATTTTATTGATATGAGAAGAGAATATTTCTTTCAATTCAATATAGGTATATATATAATAGAGAAAGAGAAAAAGAATAAAGAATTAACTCATTTTGTAATGCTCGTCACATTATTCGTCAATAGTGGAATGTATATGCCATATTAGAAAGAAAGAAAGTGGCATTGTTATAACCAGACTAAAATGAAATATGATAAATCATTATCAGTCAGGTGAAATCAGTTTAAGAAAGAAAAAAAGAAGAACATTAAATACAACATTTATCTACTCTAACATAAAAAAACAATGACAAATGAAATAAACTAATGACAATCAATTTAACAAGAAACTTACATGAATTTGATAAGTTATATGTACCAGAAAAATAAGACATGGTTTTGGTCTAAGAACATAAAAATTTCAATGATGAGGATTTCTTATCAGAATTTGAAATGATATTGTTTGAGACTTCGAATGTCAGTTATAATTATCTAAATACAAGATAATTTCTACTAACTGGTAAAAATCAATTTTCATAATAATAGTTGAGGAAAAGCATAATGAATTTCTTTCGAATGATTTTGCTAAAAATTGATTATAGTTTCCTTTTAATGAAATCACAAAAAAGTATTGCATTCAAATTGATGAATTGTATAGAAAAATGTTAAATAATTTACATTTTTCGATTGTTATTCTTCGAGAAAAAAAAAAAGAATCTCGTTCAATCTTTCAATATCTTTATTATTATTGGATTTTTCATTGAAACTAAACAAGATTTCTAATAAGAATTCATATGACGAAAGATCTTTTTCACAGCAACATAATCTTGTAAAGTAGACGACAAATAATGTATAATATTATCTATTTATTTATAAACTTCATAGCATTTCTGCTTCAATAGATAGGAAAGTATAGAAAGAATATAGGATAGACGTCGAAATGGGAATAATTTCTTAATCTCTGTCTCGCTTCAAGAAAAAATAGTTCTTTGTTCGCTACCCTGTTTCAGTCCTTGCTATTGATCGATTGATACATGTAAAGAAAGAGAACGAAAAAAAAAACGAGCAAACATAACACTACTTGACACATCTCTCTCATAAGAATTGATGTCGATTGTGCTGTATATATGTGTTCTATATGAACACTTTCATTATAAAATTTTCACACAGGAATGTTTTGGGACACAACTCAATTTCAACAATGCTTCACTCCTATAAAAAACAGTCCGCACCTTGTTCTGGGGCTCTCATACATGTCTACCTTTTCTCGTTAAAATACTTTTAGAAATTTTAAGAAATATCAAAATGCTACCTAAGATCATAGATAGTTCATGTAACAGACTATTAAGTAAACTGTATATGAGTATATGTAAAGATTAGTGAAAACCGATACAATAAATGTGTCAATCAAAAAATAAAAATAAACAACAATCTGTATTCGATTTATTTACAAAATTTTACTAACTTTTCTATGAAAACAAATATACGACAAATACATAAGAGGAGAGCTTACGAGCAAGAAAAGACATTTAGTTTTTTATTTGTTGTTGAACAAATGTAGTTTTTTTCCTTTTTATACTTAAGTAAATGGTACATTGGCAAAGTCATGAATGTGAATTGTGGTATGAAGTTGAGTTCTATACACTGAGTCAATCCGACTTGTGAATGGGTTCAGATTGAACTTTATTCGTTCGGATCGATTTAAGTTCTGATTCAACTTTGTCCAATGTGACATCGGTTCAAGGTCGAATTTCACTTTGAAAAGCATCAGATTTAAGAATGAGAATTGAAAAAGTCAAACTTTCGTAGAATTCTATTTGTACATAACTGCATTTGCAAACAAAAAAGGCGTTAATTCTCGATTTCATACACTTTGCAGCATATTTTTCTCATATCATCAAAGTCTACTAGAGAATGTCCAAAGTTTAGATAAGTGATTTATAATTGATACCAATTGAAATCAACTGAAAAACCACTGAAACTAACGAGGGAACCTTTTCAACTGTCCAATCGCTTTTGAGTTCGAACTCAGTTTGAAAGATAGACCCCAGTGAGGTATGAAAAGGCCCAAAAGGATAAGTGCCCATAGGCCTTCCGTCCAGAGTTATAGGCATTTTACTGGATTTTTAGCCTATGGCACAGTATATACCAAAAAATCGAATGACAATATTTCGAGCTGAGATTTCGTCCAACGATAGGTCTATGTACCAATAGAATGCCCTGAAAATTTCAGCTCAAAA